AGAAGTGAGAGCTGAGTCTCAAAGAGGTTGAATGACTTGCTGAAGTTAGACGATGAGCAACTCATGGGGAGTAGGGGTAGACATGCATGTTGCTTTTGCTTTGGGGGGGGAATACTCTCATTGAGTCACTCCTCTAGATGTATTGCATAATTTATCTTTCTAAACTTCAGAAACCTATAGGGTAATATAGTAATATCCCTTATATTATCCCTTATAAATATAATATCCCTTATAAATACCCTTATATTATAATATAATATCCCTTATAAATACCCTTATATTACCCATAGGGTAATATAAGTAATATCTCTTATATTTTTTTACAGCCCCATATTATAAGGAAGGATACATGCTATGAAGAAAGGTGAGTTAAATCTGAAGCCACATTTGGCTACAAAGCCCATGCCTTTTCCTCTGTGCACCCAATGCCCATCCCCCACTCAGCAGTATCCATGACACCTTCCCAAGAAACTAACCCAAGGGGCAAAGGACTGGGCTCTTGCTGCCATGTGGAAGGTGTTAAAGGGGAGGATGGCTATTCCAAAGACTGTAAGTTGCCCCTAAGAAAATATTAATACATAGAAATCATAATATAAATTGATGTTTAGGTTTGCATTGTTACAACTAGAACCATCATGGGTTAAAAACTTTTTTGGACCCGTTGTTTGAGTGTGAAGACATGCTCTGAGTTCCTAATAATTGATTACCTTTAATGAGCCTACTGGGAATGTCATTAAAATATAGATTTGGATTTAGTAGAGCTGCAGTGAGATCAGAGATCCTTCATTTCAATAAGCTCCCAGGTAACACTCATGACGCCAGTCCACAGACCACACTTAGAGTGGCAAGGCTTTGGACCACAACCAATTCACAACTAGAGACTCATTCTAAATCAAAAGTTGCTAATTAGGCTGAAATGCCCTCTTTTTTTTTAATGAGGCTGACCCCTAAGTGAGTTCTAGCCACCTGTCTGGAAATTTTTCCCATTTCCAGTGCAATAAGCCACTGCCTACACCTGATATTCTACCTTCTCCAAGACATTACCTAGGCTTTGCAAAAAAAAAATGATCTTTCAAAGCTCCACAAAGAAATGGCATTTGTGCGCTCTTAGGCACATCTGTGCCTGCTGCTAGTCATCTGTTGATTTCCAACAAGCCAACCAAAGTTTAGCAAGTTCCACTGTGGAAGGGTGAGCAGTGTGCCTCCTGCAGGAAGCTCCCACCCGCCTCTCCCACAATATAAGGGCCTTTCAGCCCCATCTTCCCAATGCGCACTTCAGTGAACATTCCACAGCAAGCATCTCCCTTCCAACTTGTGTCTGCCTCACAGATTTGTCCCACAAGATCCTTTTGCTGAATCACCTTTTCTCATTTGTAGTTTTGTCTCCCCAACCAAATTTAAGCTTCCTGTCTCGTTGCATCTTCCCATAATGCCCAGCCCAGGGTTGTGCTCAAGTGACAGGCCAACTAAATAGCTCTTAAGTCACTGAAAGTTTCATTCTCCTATTGTGTAAGAATGTAACTCTCTGCAAAGAGTGTCTGTGAAGATCACAGGAGGGAGGGACTCTTTAATTATTATGAGTCAATAAATTAACTTCTTACCTATTGTAGTGATGGGATTGTTATAAATTCACGCCAGAATTCACATCAATGGTGTCCAAGGATCATATGAGATAATGCATGTGAAAGCATTTGGTAAAGTATAAAGCCTTCTACAAGCGTAAGGTATTATCGTATTGTTCTTGTGACTTAGGCCATGTGGGTTTTTTTTGTTTTGTGTTGTTTTTCCAGAAGTGAACGAGCACAAGATCACCAAGAGATGAAAAACTGGCTTTAACTATACCCCAAACCCACTCCATATGAAAAGGGCTTTTTTTCACTCATTCATCCTTGAACTATAAATCAATAAACTAAGCGTCTCTCCTGGGCCAGGAAATTGAGGAAAGGGGAAAATAGTGGGATGGATCTGCAAACCTAATGCTAGTATCACATGGCAGCTCCCATTTCCTGAAGTTCAGGGGGAGCCAGGTACAATTTACTATGATCAGGGGAGCTATTTCATGGGCTGAAGGAGACAGCGAGAATGAGTGTCATTCACAGCAGGACAAGCTAATAGCATCCATGTGTTTGTCTGAATATACATAGGCTCTCCATATGCACGGTACCGTCGCCTTATTGAATAAGGCAGGCTACCACTTGCTTGCCTCCTGCCTGCCCAGACAGTCTTCCACCCCCTGCTTGGACTTTCTTTCTCACTACAGGTTCCTCATTGATGTCTTGGAGCAATTCCGGGCCCGGTATCCTATGCACTCTTCTCCTGGAACCACAGCAGCGTCTCCCAGACTCTGTCCCTTTGAAGACTCCTATCCCAGATGTGCTTCCTTGGGGCACCTTAAAACCAGCCTGGCCGAAGCAGACACCATTTTCCCTGCCAGGCCTTCTCCACTCCGAGCATTCTCCATGTCAAGAATGGTGCCACCGCACACCGGGGCAACTGGGAGTGACTGAGACCGGCTGACACTGATGCCCCTTCAAAGCAGCACTTGTTAAACATTGTTCTGATGTTTTTGGAGGAGTCCTTGAGGGCTTCCGGTGGGAAGAGTGGAGAAGAAGGGTTGCTTGAGGCTGTGTTCACCCGCTCCCTACTGCCCCAAGCCACTCAGCCCTGGCCTCACACCTGCAAGCTGTGGATAAGCAGACCCACTCTTTTAGGGTGACCCACTTATTCCAATTTTTCCAGGACTTCCTTCGTTTTACCACTGAGAATCCTGGGTCTCAGGAAACCCCTCAGTCCAAGGCAGATTAAGACAGTGCTACCTCCCCTTAGAAGGCAATTTAGAGACCATCTGCAGTGTCTTGGTGTTCTGGTTTGCTAGGGCTGCCAAGATAAGGTACCAATAACTGAGTGGCTTAAATAACAGAAATGTATTGTTTTACAGTTTTAGAGGCTAGAAGCCTAAAATCAAAGTGTTGGTAGGGTTGGTTCTTTCAGGGGCTGGGAGAAAAATCTGTTCCATGCCTCTCTCCTAGCTGCTGGTGGTTTGTTGACAATCGTTGGCATTGTAGAAGCATCTCCCTGATCTCCGTCTTCACCTTCCCAAGGCATTTTCCCTGTTCGTGTGTCTGTGTCAGAATTTCCCCTTTTGTAAGAACACCAGTCATATCGGGTTAGAGGCCCACCCTAATGCAGTCTCAGTTCATCCTAACTTAACTAATCACATCTGCAATGATCCCATTTCCAAATAAGGTCACATTCTGAGGCACTGCAGGTTAGGACTTCAATATGTGGATTGAGGAGGGAACACAATTTCACTCATAACATGTGCTCTTGCTTACTTGGGAGTCTCAACCCCCAGACCCATTTCAATCACCCCATGTAGCACATGGAGATCTTGCAACATTTCTGATTATAGTCAAGAATCTCCCTCAATGAAGCTCTGGCCAATAAAATTTTCACCATCTCATTTCATTTTCCATGATGTTTTATCTACCCTCTATTTTTTTTTAAATCTCCTTATCTTCTAATTACCTACCCTTGTAAATTTGTTCCCAGACAGCTGAAAAATCTACTTTATTAGGCTTTGCCTGGGGAGTCTCCTAGACTTTCTCCCACTCTTAAATATGCCTCAAATTAGTCTCTGCCCCCAGTGCCTTCACTCAGCCCCTCATCACATCCAGCCTCGATCACACTAGTCTAGCTCACTTTTCTGCTTCCTTCTGGTCATGTCCCCATCACCTCTTAATCTCCCTGCACCCCTCTGCCAAGAGGACCTTTCCACAGTGTACACCCAACAAGCCACTTCCACAGGCCACCTTCAGTGGCTCCCCGCAGAGCAGACAACATTCAGATGCCTTTTCTTAGCTCCCAGGGTCCTGTGTGGCCAACTCCTGCCTGCCTTCCTGGCCTCACATTGTCATCTCCTGTTCCTGCCTTTGCACATGCTGTTCCCTCTGCCCTCCATGCCCTTCTTCTCCCCATTGTTTTGAAGCTGTGTTCCTACTTACTCTTCAAACTCAGCTCCAATGTGACATCATGTGAGAAGCCTTCTCTAAACCTGCAGCCTGATCGGTGCTGTTCGTTGTACAACTCTGCACTGTGCGCACTGCAAATCAGCGCATTTCTTATCTGTCTCTTGCAGTTGGTCAGAGGACAAGAAGTTCACGAACCACTAAAAACTATCCCCCCCAATTGCACTTTGTACCCCATTTCCCCTCATTATTACATGTGTACCCTGGGGCACGTTATTTAACCTTTTAAGCCAAGAGTTTCTCTTCTGCAATATGTATATGCAATGAAAGTATGCACTCACGAAGCTGTCGTGAGTATTAAATGAGATAATTAATGTAGAAAGCTTATCATGTGGCCTGGCACGTACCATAGGATCTCAAAAAGTACTGCTCAAAAACTGCAATAAAAACTGTTGCTACCACGTAGTTCTCGTTATTGGTATTGATTTCAGGAGCACTACAGCCCCGGGATGAAGATCACAGGCTCTAGATTTGTGCTGTTTGAGAGTGAATCCAGTTCCAAACGTTTATTAACCGTGTGTCCCATATCTGAGTCTCCATTGCTTCCCGTAAATGCAGATAATATAACAACTGCCTCATAGATGTTTGAGGGTAAAACAAGCTACTTTTGAAGCACTTGGAAGAGAACCTGGGATGTAGTAAGTGCTCAATAAATACTGGCCTCTAATACAATGGGCTTTCATCAGCATCCCAAAGGGTTCCATAACAAAATATTGAGAATCAATGCCCTGATCTGTGAACTCCTTAAGGGAGGGATCCTTTATCTTTGTGATCCAACCATATAGTACACAGAAGACGCTCAGTGATTTTGTAAATGAATGAATGAATTGTGAGCTGAGTAACAAACGCCAAGTTAAATAATGTCACTTTTCAAAAGGTCACGGACTGAGCAAACTCATCCCATGAGAACATGGCTGGGAATAAGGAAATGGGAAAAATAGATGTTCCAGAAACTTTGCGTAAAAGCTGACATACTTTATTCAGAGGAATCATAAAATGTTAGAGCTGGACTGGACTTCAGCGATGATCTATTACAGCCCCCTCATTTTGTAGATGAGGAAAACGAGCCAGCTCTTAGAACTGATTTCCTCTCTTTATGCATAATTCTAAGAAGCTTCCTCACCTGGTTTCCTGGCCAAAGCACATTACAGGGAGAGGAAAGGGCAAGCAGGGGAGCTACGTATACCTATGCTAAATATCAATAAGTGAAAGTTGGGCTGATAACAGAAAAACTACATAAAAAAAAAAAAACACATAAAAACTGAAGAATTACTGGAGCCTGTAGCTTTGGCCTAGGGGCAAAGGTGCTCCCTCCTGAACCCACCCTCATGGCCTGACTATGAGCCAGCTCCAACCAGAGAAAAGACTGCATGATGCTTCACAAAAGCAAGATTTGCAGGAAATTGGACATTCTTTAGTTCCCAATCGTTTCTGCTGGAACCCCCATCCCATTGCGTTGATTAGGGATTGAAATCTCAAGTTCTCACAGCACCCCTCCACCCACCCTGAGGCTCTGCCCAGGGTCCAAAGAGATGTCAACAATATCAAAACACTGGGCTGAGTGGCAAGCTGGTCACTGGGTCCCTGAGCACCTGCACGCTCAGGTTGTTAGTGAGCTCTCTGTGGCTGGCCAGCTCCCCATCCCCAGCCTGGGCTCACTGCTGCTTCTGACCCAGTCCTGGAGGGGAGAGATCTTTCTGCATGGTCATGCTTGGTCCCTGCTGTCTGGAAGCACCACGCAGTGTCTGTTTCCTTTCCAGCTTCATGATGTCTGTTTGTCTCTTGCCCTCTGCCCTTCTCCTCTCCCTCCATCCCTTCTCTTCTCTCCCTCCTCTTTCCTGCTATTCTCCCCTCCTCTGTCCCTGCCCAGGGGTGCACTTGTTTTTCATCTGAAGGGTTACCCTTCTCCTTTCATGTTTCTATATCCAGAATCCTCTTTCTTTTACCCCACCCTACAAATCCTCCGAGTTGTTTTAAAGTCTGGGCCTTTGGAGCTCAAAAGCCAGAGAGATGTACAGATGACTTCTGCCTTCCATCCTGTCATATTCCTCCTCTGAGACCATGACCCAAAGAGGGCTGACCCTGCCTGAAACAAGGAAAGTAAAAAAAGAGAACAGCAAGAAGCAAAAAACATGGTGAATATCTATCTTAAAATGTTATCCTATCACAGTATGTAATATGTTCCAGAAACACTGATGCCCATATGGTATTCAAGACAGAGTTAATTTTCAGTTATCTGCATAGCTGTGAGACAGCTTATTCTCATACCTCCTAAGTAAATAAGCAGCATGTTAATGCAAGCCTATAATAGCATTGAGCAGCACGTCCCCAAGCCTGTTGCATGGAGCACTTAGTACTCTAATTTTGGTCCAGGAGGAAAAATCTTCTGTAATCAAAGCAATTTTTAAAATGTCATCCTTCTTGGAGATGGAGGAAGTATCTTTACATGTCAAGAACTCTGAGAAGTTGGAACCCGGACCTGCCTTATTTGACCATGGAAAGCTGCTTTAATTAATATCCGATGGAACTTGTGTTATGTGGAGCACACATTAGAAAGAGCTGTCTGCTCTTCATACTGATGGCCAACTCAAGGTGGAAAAGGGCGAGACGTTTTCTGTGGTGTGTGCTGGAAACAGAGACACAGATTGTGTGAGTCACCACCGCCGAGGAGGGAGTGAGCAATAACCTCTGGAGCTGGGAGCCCTGATTTGCAACCTCAGCCTGAAGGGTTTTGTAGCCCACGGCTGTACCTGCCAAAGCTGTCAGGTCCACTTTCTAGTGAGCAGCACAGGTGATGCGGAGGCTCCGGTGCTGAGCTGCAGAGAACGGGGCCAGGGCGAGGGCCCTTGCTTGGAAGCCACCCTCTCTCCCACCAGGAGGATAGCTGTGTGGAACTTCCAGAGCCATGACTTCCCATATCTGTTTGGATCCCCAAGAAATCAGGAAAAGGGGTTATTTCAGATGTTGATGTCTCTGGCGTTATTTTCAAACAGAACAAGCACTTTCTTGGATTCCCTCATCTTCCCTTTGTGAAGGTAGGAAAAACAATCGCAGAAATTGTTCTCTGGAACGATGAAGGGCATGGAAATCTATGTGATAACAGGTCAAGAAAGGTGCTAAAATCCTGTGGCCACTAAAACAGTGAGCTTCTCAGAAAGTTTCAGGCACTGGTTCAGAGCCTCCAACACGCAAGCCAGACACTTGTAATTTCAGTTCGAGAAAGACTATTTGGACAACTAATATGCATTATCACTTTGCTAGGCACCATAAGGATCATAAAGTACAAAATTCAGATTTTTTAACTTATGGTATAAGGCTCTTTTTGATATAGCCACGGTCTCAGGATCTTGGAGGCATATTTCAAGCCTTCCTTCCTATCTCAAGAATGTTCACTTTACATTCCAGGTTTAGAAGTTTTTCTGCCGTGCCTTATTCTCATTGTGCTTTTGTCCACGCTCTGTGTCTTGGTGTTTCTTCCAGGGATTCCTTTTTTCCCCTGCTCACACTTCAGTCAACTGAGCAAATTTCTATTATATTTCTCCTCCAAAATGGAGATCAAGTACTATCTCCACCGTGAATGCTTTGCAGAGTGGCTCCCATCCCTCAGAGGTTTGGTTTGTCTGCCCTCTGGGTTCCCAAAGCATCTTGTAGATATGTCTATGTTAGAGGGCCTAGTAGAACTTAAAAAGTAAAAGAGTTTGGAGCCCCTGTTCTCTCATTTAGCTGTATTATATTGGGCGAGTTGCCCAACTTCTTTCTATGCATCAGCTACCTCATCTTTAAATTGCGAATAATGCCTCATTCATATGAAGTTTAAATGATAGAATAATGGGTTTTGCACAGTGCCTATTACATATAAATGCTCCACCAAAACTTTGGTTATTGGATGACAATTAGTGGTTTGCTTTTTTTCTTCCCTCCCTCTCTCTCTCTCTCTCTCTCTCTCTCTCTTTTTCTCTCTTTCTCTCTTTCTTTCTTTCTTTCTTTCTTTTTCAAGGCCTTGCTCTGTTGTCCAGACTAGAGTGCAGAGGCATAATCATAGCTTACTGCAACCTCAAACTCCTGGGCTCAGGTGACCCTCCTGCCTCAGCCTCCCAAATAACTGGAACTACAGGCATGCCCCACCATACCCAACTAATATTTCTATTTCTTTTTTAAAAACAGGGGCCTCACTATGTTGCTCTGGCTGGTCTTGAACTCCTGGCCTCAAGCAGTCCTCCTGCCTGGGCCTCCCAAAGTGTTAAGATTACAGTCAAGAGCCACCATGCCCAGCCAATTAGTGGTTTTCTACTCTTCATCTATGTGGGCTTCAATTTTTTTTCTCAGAGAGGACATTTTTATTGAAGGTAGGGAGGTAGCCCTGCATGAGCAGGTAGCATTAAGATTTACATTATTAGTAATGTGACTCTATTGACATTCCATTGACATCCATAGCTATATTCTCACTGAGGGTATGTGAGCAACAGCTAAAACGTTTCTGTACCTTTGTAAAATTACATTTTATTCTGAAATCTCCTAGACAAACTAAAATGAATTAGAAATACTACAATGAATATCCATCTATTCACCATCCAGCTTAAGAAATAAAATTTTCCAAGTAACTTAGTGTGGGCCTCAATTTCAAGTGCTGCCATATTGGTTTTGTGTTCTCAATTCTTAGCAAAGTATCTAACACATAGTAGGCACTTAATAAACAGCTTTAATGAAACCACTGATTAGCCAATTAATCGATGGAGAGATGAATGAGTTCTGTTTCTAAGGGGGAAGGCTCTCCCCCAGGAAACAAGGCAGGAGTGAGCAAACCAACACACAGGGACAATAGGGCCCTGAAGGCCACAGATGCCCAGACTCCTGAGATGCAAGGCAGGCTGGCACCTGGCAGAGGCCAAAGGAGCACCTGAAGAAAGGATGTAGCTTAGGAAACAATTTAGTAGAAAGAATCAAGTAAACCATTCTAGTCTCACTATACCCAAAGACTCAGAGCTCTTTAAGGATGAAGGAGACCAATGCGTACTTGAAGGCTGTGGGAGGAGAAATCCATGGGGGAGGGAGATCTGAAGACCCTGGCAATGAGCAATGAAGGGACGAGAGCATAGCCCAAGTCTTCAGAGAGAGTCAGGGACAAGGACACGGCAGGAGGCTCGCACAGTGGGGCAGGAAAACACCCTTTTCTGAGACTGAAGTCAAGAGGGGGGAATGACTTTGGGGACCAAAACTGTATAACACGGAAGGAGGAGAGGTGTAAGAAAGCCCGTGTGTTATGTGGACTTGATGTTCTCAGCGATGTAGGAAGCAAAACTGTCTACTGGGAGAGTGGGGATGGGAATATAAAGACACAATCCAGCAGAGTGGTCTGGAACACAGACCCTACCACTCGGTATCCAATCCAGGCACCATTACAGACCTTCTGGGTGGTCCTGGGAAAGCTTCTTAAACTCCTCATGACTCAGTTTCCTCGTCTGTAAAATGGGAAAGATAAGAATGGCTATTTATCTTATGGGGTTACCAGGAGGATTCAATGACTTAGCAATTGTTGAGCACTGGAATACAGTAAGTACTATGGCAGTATTTGCTGTTGTTGTTAAGAAGAGCCTTGCAGATATTAGGACATGATTGGGCTCAGCCATTAGGGAAAGTGCTCTGGAAAATCAATAGGAAATTGTGATTATACAACACATGAATGTATAATGGGCATAGCCAGTATGGTCTTGCATCTTTTTTCACAAGCAGGGAACAGAAACAGAGAACAGAGAAAGTGAGGATTTGCCCCTGGGGGCTTGGGACAAAGCAGTGTGGGAAGAATACAGTTAGAAGACAGGATTCTAGAGTAGCGATGAGGACATTAAAGTAGCCAAATACAAAGTCTCAGTGAGGCAAGGAGTCAAGAGAAGCCACATGGACTAATGGACTGATTATGGGCCCGAGGAGTAGTTTTTATTCATATTTACTAAGGCTGGAGTTAATGGACTTTAAGCTATGGTATATAGTCACTCTCTACTGGAAGTGTCTATTAAAGTTGGCAATGAAACCCAAAAGGCTATTTGGCCTTGAGTAGGTGTGAAATGTTTTTCTGAGCAAAGGAATGGCTCTGGAAATAGATGACATAATTATTCGAGACTTCCTTCCCATCCATGCTCTGTCCTTCCTCATCACTATTCTGGATACACAGTCAAACCCCCGAAGCAAGACTGGATCATTTAGGGGAGTGGAAGACCCACTGATGCTGAAGGACAAGTTCCATCCCTGATTGGGGTAGAGAAAGAGTCAGCCAAGAAGGTTCTTTGGGGAGGGTGGGGACATGAAATGCAAGATCTTGGCAGGAGGGAGTGCAGGTCACAGAAGTGGTCAAGGGTGGGGGACGGTGAGTGTGCATTGCAGACAGGACAGTGACATGACGCCTAGCACGGAGGATGGCAGGAGGGGCTGGGCAGAGTGGGCAATGGTGTCCCTGGGACCTACGTGGACAAAAGAGACACCTCCTGTGGTTTGGGGAGGATTATATTAGCAACGGTAAATTTAAAGAAGGAAAATGCAAGGTTGCTCTGTGGCTTACTACACTATATAAAAATATATTGCAAATATATATGTGTGGACCTAGCAGAAGGACTGAAAGTACATAACCAAAATGTTGGTACATACGAAGTACATAACCAGATGTGGCCTGGGGACAAAGGAGCAGAAAATAGACAACATGTTCTCTACTAAATAGGATCTTGCAAAGCTGAGCGGGAAATCTTAATTTTCCTAAAATTGCCTCAGGCTATTTAATGCATTTGCCTCAGCAAAATTTGGCCTTCTCTCTTCTCTGTCTCCTGTCCAGGCATACCAGGATCCACATCACCTATCACATACTTCCTTCCAACACTCAGAAAATCTCCAATAAATATTTGTTGGCTGATTATCTGTCCTCCAGAACAATACTCATGCCCTGAACCAGTACCTCCCAGAAAATGTCTAAGGCTACAGGAAAGGTAAAGAAATATCACTTGTGAGGACCCATGGAAAATGACAAAGAACCATTCAGATTCAAGAGGTAATTATCACACTCCCAGGGCTTTCTCCTCTTAGATATAAGTCCTTTTTGAAAAGGAAATTCATGGACTAATTCCTACTAATGTGCTAATGGTTCACCATCTCTTAGGCTATTAACCCACCCTGAGTCATTGCATTAATTTAGGACAATCCAAAGATATTGAAAAAAAATTTAAAAATAAAAATAAAAATCCCTCTTAATTCTACAATTCTGAAATAATAACAGCATTTTGGTTACGTACTTTCAGTCCTGCTAGGTCCATACATATATATTTGCAATATATTTTTATATAGTGTAGTAAGCCAAATAATTGTTTCCCCAAAATGTCCACATCCCAATCCCCAGCACTTTTGAACATGTTACTTTATTGCAGATATGATTAAGGTTATGGATCTTGATATAGGAAGATTTCATGCAGGTAATGTAATCATAGGAGTCTTTAAAAGGGGAGTATCTTTCCCTGCTGAGTCAGAGAGATAAGATAGAAAAAGGAGAGATTCAAAGTGTGCAAGGAACTTGACCCGACTTTGCTGGCTTTGAAGACAGAGGAAGGGGCCATGCACCAAAGAATGTGAGTGGCTGTTAGAAGTTGTGAACTGCTGTCAGTTGACAGCAAGAAAACGAGGATGTCAACCCTGAGTCCACAGGGAACTGGATTCTGCCAACAATCTGAGTAACCAAGGAAATGGATTCTCCCTCAGAGCCTCTAGAAAGAAACACAGCTTTGCCGATACTCTGACTTTAGAGCGGTAAGACCTGTGTCTGACTGCAAAATAGCAAATCATGTTGTTTTAAGCCTTTAAGTGTGTGGTAATTTATCACAGCGGCAACCAAAAATAATACGCATATTTTGAATTATGTTTTATAGATTTTTTTGTTGCTATTTTTAAGACAAAATTATATCAGGAGTCTTTCTCATTGCACGTTTTATATTTTAGATTGGTTCATATTAGTCCATCACGTGGATTTACGGTGATTTATTTAGCCATTCTCATCATTGTATAATACGTTTAGGCTGAGTTTAATTTTTTGCTTTTATAAATGGTGTTATAATGAGCATCCTTGAATGTGAATTTTTGGTCCACAGTGCTTATTATTTTCTCAGAACTGATTTCTTGAGGTGTAATTACCAGATCAACTCATGGAGACATTTTAAGTTTTTGATTCTCAATTCTAAAGTAAGTTTCTGGGAAGTAGCAAGTTATACACCCATCCAGAATTTGGGAGTGTCTATTTCATCTCATTATCAACTGAGTTCCATTTCGCTGGTTTTTTAATGTCAATTTCTTACATGAAAATAGTATCTCCTTGTCATTTTAATTTGCATTTCTTTGATAACTTGTGACACTGAACATTTATTCGTATGAGAATCATCTATTCATATTTTTTTTACTGATTTTCCGATGAAGGTCTTAGAGTTTTTCATATTGATTTGGAAAAACTCTTTATCCATTTGTGCTATCAGTCCTCTGTCATATTTAATACAAATTTCCTCAATTTGACATTTACCTTTGAATAGTGTTTATAATCTATCTTGACATGCTGAATTCTTAACCTAATATGTGGTCAAATCTACTTTCTTCCTTCATATTTTCTTCCATTGCATTAGAGATTTTTCTGTCTTAAAGTCAAATAAACACTTACCTATATATATTTCTTCTTGTATTTTAAGGGTTTAATTTTTTTTCTTTTTACATATAAGGATTACACCTGTCTGGAATTTATTTTGGTTTATGAAGCTACTAAGGTAGGATTCTATTTTTATTATTTTCCAAATATTCAAATAGTTCTGAATAATTGTGTTTTTTTGCCCTATCTATGAAAGGTGCTGCTTTTAAACTAAAGACTTCAGGAGACAAGATATCATACCCCCAAAGACTCAAACATGCACTTTCATGCTCTGTGATTAGCAGAGAGTTCGATTTCCTTTTTTTGAAGGGTGTTGGAGGCAGTGGGAAGGGATTTCTCAGCATCTCTCAGATGACCCCAAGCAAGCTGTAAATAAGCTTCCTGAGGGTTGACAGTCACCTCACCATTATTCTTACATTTAAGTTCAAACATTGTAAAGGAAGAGTGAGACATGTGAGTTGTGCTATCCTAAAGTAGAGCTTCTACAGGGACCTTGTCCGTTTGCGCAAGTGCGTTCCCAATAAATGCTGTGGCCTGTGTCCATAGGAGTGTAAGCTCCCCAGAGGCAAGAGAATCCTCTTCTATTTCCACCCTCCAGCTCCTCTTACATAGTCCTCTGTCACCCCCGGACCTGCCCTCCTGATTGATTTAGAGTTCAGGGTGCTGGTGATCAAACCTGAATGCCAGTCCTTGGCTCCGGACTCACCTTGTCTCAATCTCTTGTCTCAGCCTCCTACGCCTTTTTTTGTTGTCGTTCCCTCAGTTCCGCTCTCCCACATCCTCCCTCCTTCTAGAAGAAGGAGGTGCACGTGTGAGCATTTATCTTTCCAGGAATAGCCTGTGAGGCGCAGAGACGGGAGCAGGCGGAGGAAGGAGCAGCCAAGCCCGTGGTGGAGGGGCCAGGGCAGGGCTGCTAGCCCAGCTCTGAGCTCATCAGGGCACGATGGCCACTGCTGCTCTGTGGCTGCCAGCAGAGAACAAAGGAGAGCTGGCTTCTCCCCAGTCATTTTTCTGGGTGGCAATTAAGATTTTTCAGAGCTAAAGTATGTCAGACATCAGTGATCAGAAGTAGCTATTTAAAGCTGTTTCTTAGTGATGTAACTAGGTTTGAGGTATGATAGAAGGGTTTGGGGGTGGAGGGAAGGGAGAAGGAGTGGTCTGAAGTCACTGTGGACCCATGAAGCAAGGACCTTAATTGCTGCTTAGCCAGGAGCTCTTGTGTGTAGAGGCCTCAGCTACTTCCCTGGGTGGAGGGTTTGTCCTGCTCACCTTATCCACACAGGGTGAGAGGGACTTACTTTTCTAGGGGGAACAGAGAACCAGGTAGGACTGACTAGAGTTGCCCTCCAGACCAACCTTGCTTTCTCAAAGAAGGCTGGGAGACAGGGCCAGACGCCATGTTCCACAGCAGGTCAGAGGGCTCTGAGGATGGGGACAGGGGCACATGGCAAATACAATCACAGACATCAACTCCCCAAAGAAAAAGCACCTCTTCCAGCACCTGCTCAGGAATTTCACCTGTGCCCTTCATTTTTTCACTTTGGCCTGATATCTCCTGGAAGAGGCAACACACACCTTCATGGAGGGGAATAGGAATGGAAGAAGGCCAGCCAAGGAGTCCTAAGAAATGATCTCCCCTCTATGCTTCTGTATTTGGGAGCTTGAAAGCTGGAACTGCAGCAAAGGGCACAATTACCATGGCAACATGGTGCCCCCCCAATCGAAGGGGCAGGTCCCCAAAAGGGGTCAGCTTTGGGGTATGTCTAGAAGGGAATCAGAAACACTTCCATTGATCTTATCCAGGTTTCTAAAGTTATCTTTCTCTCTAGTTACACCAGTGGATGCTCCGATTAACATTTTACCTGAATGGCCTTCTATATTCACTGTGGCCATCCTGAAAATCTTTAGAATTAGTTCATCAAATCAAAACAACTTTTTACAGGCATTCACATGTGTGACATTCCCTGTATAACATACAAAAACAAATAAGATCCAAACTCTAACTTCAAGAAGCTTTTGGAGCCCAGTTATCAAGTCTTACAGAGCCGAATGTGAGTTCTAAGTGACAACGGAAAATAGCAATAGAAAAGGAGTAACGAAGCTGCAAATGCTTCATCGTCGATTGGGAAGTGTCAAAAATATATTATTGAGGGGTTCACACTGGGGAGGTCTTGGCAGGATTTGAGCTGGGCTCAAGATGGGAGGCGCTCTCTGCCCGGTTGGGAAGGATGGAAGAGGGGAACCGCCCAGGAGAAAGGAAAGCACAGGGCAGAAAGCAAATGCACTCAGGCTGGAGTCACAGCTTCTGATAGAGCTATGTGGGAGATAAGTTTGTTGCAATAACTCTAATTTGATGTCTAATGGACATGAAATGGGGCATGTTTGGATAGCAGGACGCCGGACAGGGTGTGAGCCTGAGAATTAGAGGGAGGGTGGTCAGGACCCTCCAGGAGAGGCATATGAGCACTGGGGCCCCAAGGGATGGGGACACTTAAGTCGGTGAGCCATGAAGATAAATTTACCCAATTTTGCAGCTTTGCTGCAGACCACCCCTGGGGATGAGACGCCAGTAACACATTCATTCCAGAGCAAGCTGATCAGCATGTAGGAAGGAATTGCCTGTGACTGTCTTGGGAGCCTAACTGGTGCTTAATGAAGGCTAAGTGCTGCCTTTAATATTACAAACACAAAGCATGTGACTTGCTTTGTGTTTTTACAGAAAAGCAAAGGAAATATCCCAATTGCTGTTAAAAAATCATATGTAAGAAGGCACATGCACAAAAGTGCCCACGAGGATGCACGAGCTATCGGAGCTTCCATATGTATGTGTATATGAGATATTATGCTCCAAACTGCAATTTAACATCATTGTTTCTCAGTTAAGCGCCCTCGTAGATTGTTTCAGACCAGTTTCAAGCATCTTGACCACAGAATCTTACAAAAGATGAGCCACTTTTTCTCCAGCAAAAGACTGTGGCGTGCCTGAGCTTGCTTTTGTCTTCTTACCAACAGTGGAAGGAATCCCAAGTTGAATCTTGTCCCATCGTGCATGGCCATGAAAGCTTCCATGCTCTGGCCTACACTGATCTTTCCAATTTTCCATATATTTTGGTATATGATGATATCTAGTTTTTCCTGATTTCTCCTTTTAATATTTATGATTCATTCCCCTATCAAGAGTATGGGATCTTGCCACTAGCAGTATGGGCATTGCTTTAGAAATTCAAAGTGCAGCATCTCAGGCTCCCCTGTAGACTAACTGAATCATTATCCACAATTTAATAAGACCCTGAGAGATTCGTGTTTGAGAGACATTTCTCTAGGATATGGAGACCTTATTTTGTATTTCACTCATATTCACATCTCCTTGTAATTACATGGAACCATGGCGGCCATGAAGTAGATCGAACATATTCTTGTTGAATTTAGTTGAAACCACCCACAATGGTCAATTATGCTTACAAACAGAAGATGTCCTTACTATTTTATCTGATTCAAACAACCACCCAGGGACACAGGAAAAACTCTGTTTTATCCCCATTTTACCAATAAGGAGATGGAAGCTCAGAAGAGCTTCATAATTTCTTAATGTCAAACATCTAAAATTTAGACAATACTAAAGACTTTCAAAGGAAATTGAATAAAGTTACAATTAAATCTGTAGATCAGTTGGGTAGTATACACATTTTAACAATATTTATTCTTCCAATCCATGAGCACGGATTATCTTTCCATTTTGTGTGTGTGTTCTCTTCAATTTCTTTCATTAGTGTTTTATAGCTTTCCTTGTAGATATCTTCTACTTCTTTGGTTAAATTTATTCCTAGATATATTTTTGTAGCTATTGTAAATGGGTTTGTTTTCTTGATTTCTTTTTAAGATTGATCGCCATTGGCATATAGCAAAATGCTACTACTGATTTTTTAAAGTTAATTTTGTATCCTGCAACTTTACTAAATTTTTTTTATCAGTTCTAAGAGTTTTTTGATAGATTCTTTAGTTTTTTTTTAAATATAAGATCATGTCATCTATAAACAAGGGTAATTTGACTTCTTTCTTCCCTATGTGGATGCCCTTTATTTCTTTCTCTTGCCAAGTTGCTCTAGCTAAGTCTTCTAGCACTATGTTGAATAAAAGTGGTAAAAGTGGACATCCTTCTCTTATTCTAGATGCTAATGGAAAGGCTTTCAATTTTTCTCCATTCAGTATGATATTGACTGTGGGTTTGTCATATATGGCCTTTACTGTGTTGAGGTATACTCCTTTTATACCCAATGTGTTGAGAGTTTTTAACATAAAGGGATATAGAATATTGGCCCTATCAAAATCCCAATTACAGTTTTCACTGAAATAGAAAAAAATTCCTAAAATTTATATGAAACCACAAAAGACCCTGAATAGCTAAAGCAATCCTGAACAAAAAGAACAAAGCTGGTGGTATTGTAATACCTGATTTCAAATTACATTACAAAGCAGCATGGTACTGGCATAAAAACAGACACATAGACCAGTGGAACAGAATAGAGAACCTAGAAATAAATCCACACTCTTACAGCCAATTCATTTTTTAATTACATCAAGAACACCCATACATTGGAGAAAAGATAGTCTTTTTAATAAATGATGCTGGGAAAAGTGGATCTCCATATGGAGAAGAATGAAACTAGATCACTATCATTCACAATTTATTAAAATCAATTCAAAATAGATTATAGATTTAAATGTAACACTTGAGATTATAAGACTACTAGAAGAAAATACTGGGGAAAAATATAGGATATTACTCTGGGCAAAGATGTTTTGGGGGTAATCCCTCAAAAGCATAGGCAAAAAAGAAAAAATAGACAAATGGGAATCCATTAAGACAAAAAACTTCTGCACAGCAAGAGAAGCAATTAACAAAATGAAGAGACAGCCTACAGGATGGGACAAAGTATTTGCAAACTATCCATCCAACAATGGATTGATTATCAGAATATATAAGGAACTCAAACAACTCAATAACAAAAAAATAATCTGATTTGAAAATGGGCAAAAGAGCTGAATAGACGTTTTTCGAAAGAAGACATACAAATAAATGGCCAGCAGGTTTATGAAAAAATGCTCAACATCACTAATTATCAGGGCAATAAATGAGATATCATCTTACTTCAGTTAGAATGGCTATTATTAATAAAACAAAAAATAAATGCTGGTGAGGATGCAGAGAAAAGGGAATTCTCAATCACTATTGGTAAAAAATATAATGTAGTACAGCCATTATGGAAAACAGTATGGAAGTTCCCCAAGAACTAAAAATAGAACTGCCATGTGATCCAGCAATCCCACTGCTGGGTATATACTGAAAAGAAATGAAGTCAGTATATCCAAAAGGTATCTGCACTCCCATGTTTATTGCAGCACTATTCAAAATAGCCAAGATATATAGTCAACTTCAATATCCATCAAAATTCATTGATAAATAAAGAAACTGTGGTATATATACACAATAGAATATTATTCAGCCATGAAAAATAATGAAATCCTGTCATTTGCACACCATGGATGGAGCTGGAGGTCATTACGTTAAGTGAAATAAGCCAAGGCACAGAAGGACAAATGTCATATGTTTTTACTCATAAGTGGGAGCTAGAAAAATAGATCTCATGAAGGTAGAGAGTGGAATGGTGGTTACCAGAGACTGGGAAGGGAAGGGGAGGAAGGTAATGAAGAAAAGTTGGTTCATTGGTACAAAAATACAGTTACATAGAAGGAATAAGTTATAACATTTAATAGTATGATAGGAAAATTATGGATAACAATAATTTCTGATAGATTTCAAAACAGCTAGAAGAGAAGAATTGTAATTTTTTATTTTATAAAACAATGTTATGTATGATGACTTTATTTAATCTT